ATACCTAGACACAGGAGAACTATTGTCGTGAAAGTGTTGTACAGTTGATTACGAATTTAGATTGCAGAGAGTTTGTTCTGAGCGCTAAAAGCACTCACGATAGAGCACATTTTGCTTTATTCTAACAGTGATTGCAAAATACAACGATTTTTGCGTTGGTGATAACCACGACTTGGATTGTATGAAAAGGGGACGATCATGTTGTGCTAAATACAACGATTTGGTGTGAAAGCAAGAAACTCAAAACTCAAAAGACTCTGACAGGGGGTTTGGATTCCCTGTCATCATCGTGGTATCGAGCTCTTGCAAAAGAATGCCTCGTGTTGATCGTGAAACACACTCACTCCAAGATTGGGTCCTAGCTGTCGTCTGACTCCGCACTTACCGCCACGCACCTCTTCCATTGCTGCGACGCGCTCATGCGCAGTTGACTCAGCGGACCTGGTGTCATTCTCTTGCCAGTTCGTCCTACCGTCTTGCCTGCACAGTCTCAATTTCCGTCGTGTCGATTGCGGCACGTCGCTTCAGTAAAGTACACGGTTGGCTGACGGAGCGAAGAGTGTCGACGAAGAGGGCGGAAGATTTGGAGAAGACATTGTTTGCAATGGGATTTGTGGGATGATGGAGACGATAGAAGGAGCTTAGCTGCTCAGTCAAGACCGTCAGCTTTTTTGCTTTTCCCGCCCTCACCACCCTCTCTCTCATTTGCACCATACAGTAGCTCGGTACCCCATTTGGTCTGGGTTTGTTTGTCAATAAATCCTATTGATTGTCCTTTTCGAATCCTATGATTCGACCTCGGTGCAAACCAGTCACTAACTTAGTACCTCGCTACTGTGCGAGACCTACTCGCTTCTCGTATGTAGCATCAGGCTTTTGCCACAGTTTCCATGGTAGCATACTGGAGCGGCCTGTAACTGGACCTACACGCGCCGAGTCAGCTTTTCGGGGGTGTCGTTCGGACAAAATGATGGGAATAGCATAGTCTTCAATTTTTTACACAAGTTTGGTTGACTGGCGCGTCTTTCTTTTCAAAACTACTCGGCGTGCGTGCCTTTTTTAAATGCTTCCGAACCGTTGAACCTTCGTCCAAATGGACGAAAATAGTCGACCCTTCGTCGAGTCCGACTATTCTCGTCGGAGTCCGACTATTCTCGTCGGAGTCCGACTATTCTCGTCGGAGTCCGACTATTCTTCGTCGAAATGGACGAAATGGACAAAATGGACGAAACTGGTTTCGGAGCTCGTGTAAAATTCTAAATGAATTCTATGGTTGGCATACCGTTGCACGCAAGCTGGTCCAAGAAGAATGACAAGCAACAACGGCAAAAAACGGTATTTTAATACCACCTGCTACAGACATGTTGCATGCTTTCAGAAATTCAAACGTCAACCACGAATTGTACTCAGTTGAGTAATAGATTTAGGATTAATCCGATCAAGAGGTTTAAAAATAATCTACCCTGTTTCTAATGCGACCAAGTTTCGTCGGGTCCGACGAAGTTTCGTCGGGTCCGACGAAGTTTCGTCGGGTCCGACGAAGTTTCGTCGGGTCCGACGAAGTTTCGTCGGATCCGACGAAGTTTCGTCGGTCCGACGAAGTGTCCGACGAAGTTCACCCATTTCAACGGAACGTCCACGAATGAAATGAATCTTTAGGCAGGCTCGTTTTCAGCGAAGCCCAAGCTCTGCATTGCGCAGAGTCTGTCACCGGCAAGTCAGCTTCCGTCATCCTTGATAGGCAATCTATACGACATCGCTGAGGACATTCCCAGCAAGCCTGCCATTTCAGGCCGCTCCTGTACGTGTGCGATTTCTCCAGACAAAGACTACAGTACCGGTACATCATGCGATCCAAGCCCAGGAGTGGCGGCGCCTTCGTGAAGTGATTTTGGAAGCGCTTTATTTTTGATTTTCAAGGTCTGTCGTACGAGTAGTACCATGGTACAGAGTGAATCCGACTGAATGAATCATGAATCATCATGAAAGGTGAAACTTCGAAACTTCGGGACGACAACCGTCTTCATCCTAGACACAGTAGTTGCACTATTTCGATTGTGTTATTTAGACAACCGCTGGTGAAAACTCCCAAAAAGAGTCATGGCATCAAAGAAAATATGTGGGGCTCCAATTGCGAACCCGTATGCCAAAAAGAGACGTGTCGAATTAGAGCCCAAGCCTCCGTCGGCTGCAAACAATGCTCCATTTTCTGGAGGGTCAACATTCTCCCAAGCCTTTCAGACAGTTGACGAGACGAAACAATATAAAAAGCACGCAAAAAATGCTGGAATTGCAAGTGATCCAAATGTGAAGCGAATGAAAGCAGAACAAAGACTACTAGACATGAACGAGAACCAGAGACACATGCAACAGCAGAAACAACAACAGCTGAATAACATAAGTGACAAAGATCACCATCAGTTACTGCAGCCCCATATGCTGTACGTGAGTACAAAGCAACGAGGAAATGGTGTCCTTAAACACATTCGAAACGTCCCCTTCGCCTTCTCAAAGATGGTTCCAGATTACATCATGAGTCCAACTAGTTGCGCCCTCTTTCTTTCCATCAAGTATCACCAGCTTTACTCCAACTATATTCACCGCCGATTGGGAGAACTGAAGTCTGATTTTAAAGTTCGAATACTCTTGGTACTAGTAGACGTGGAGGACAATGCCAAAATTCTCTTGCAACTAAATGCGATCTCGGTCCGAAACAGCATGACTATGATCTTGGCATGGACAGAAAAGGAAGCGGCTCGCTACTTGGAATCCTACAAAGCCCTCAATGGAAAGGATGCAAGTATCATTCAGCGGAAAGAGGCTAACAACTATGTGGATCAAGTAGCCGAGTTCATTACCGCGACGAAACCAGCTAACAAAACTGATTCAGCAAATCTTTTGTGTCATTTTTCTAATGTTCAAGCCATTATCGCCGCATCGAAGGACGAGTTGTCACTCTGTCCTGGCTTAGGCCACGTGAAGGTTCAAAAGCTGCACGACGCATTCCATCACCCATTCTCAACACATGCAGCTGCGAAGCTGAAGAAACGAAAATTGGAAGAAGAGAAGGAAACGGAGGATAAGCACGCCAATAGCTAGAAGGAGTGCTTCTGCAAAGTAGCACGATGAGGAGACCCACTCCGCAATGCTGAAGTGTGAAAATCTCTGAAAAATCTCGATGGTTCAAATTGGAAATGAAGTATAGCACTAATCTACGATTGTGATTGAGCAGACGATAGGAACCCGTCCCATTGTTTGTGTGGCGAACTGATCCGTTGAAGCAACAGATGAGTTCCTTTTGTGCTCTCATAGATTCGCCAGTCACGATGCACCCAACAGATTGGTCTGGCAACGTGAATCGTTGCGATTCTCAGTTGAACCATCCACAGACTAAAGATATGGGTGCATGATGTGTCAGAATGCTAACCGTTGGATGGTACCAGGTACCGGTACTGTAGCATAGAGAAGCCACAATCTATGCTGAGACGAATTTCGTATCATGAGTCAGCACTTGTGACTCATTATGATAAGGTGTTGTAAATATCTTTTTCCTGTCTTTTTCAAAAATTACGTTGACTGACTCAAAATTCTGTGGGAAGCATCCAATCATCTTGCTGCTTGGTCTCATCGTTGCACGAAACCTTTTTCAATACCTAGTCTGCTACGACGTCTGACGAAGCTAATTGCCGATGCAAACACCGAAACAGCTGCTCTTGATTTTTTGGATCTTTCAGCTTTCTCGTGTTGAATCGATTTGCTCAAACTTCAAGGAAAGAGAACTACACGTGGAAACCTGTATATTTGTACGAAGAATTCTACAACACGTCACCATCGGAGCTCCATTCCGTCTGCTCTCGACCGATTCGGTTCAACTTGGTACGTTTTTCTTGACTCCGACGAGAATTCACATAAACAGACATCTGCCCATCATACCTACAAATCATTGATTGCGGCAACATGGTATACATCAAATCAGCTGCCGTTGCCCTTCTTGCCATGGGGGTTACCACAGCGTAAGTCAATAACTGTGATGAAATCGTTCGTTGCGATGTGCTTGGACGTTAACAAGGGGGATCTCGACTGAATGGATTCGTTGTTGAAGTTTTTGTACCAGAAAACGCCGTAGAATTCTACGGAGGATCTTGTTTCCATCTTTGTCAATAAAGATGGAATTTTTGGCTTTCATGCAAACCTTATACATTCAACTAACGTGGCATTCTCTTCTTCACTATCTTCAGCTGGCAACCAACAAATCCATCCTTTGCATCTCGAAGACTTTTCCAATCCAGCACGGGCGTTGTACCACGAGGACCGTCTGCCTTGAATGTCGTCACAGATCCAACTTCCAGTGGTCCAATGGGTGGTTTCACCGCTACCAATTCCGAGAACCGTCGTGTTGTCCCTGAAAACCCTAACGGGCGCCCGACCATGAAAGTCGTGTACGTCGTTTTGGAGTCTCAATACCAATCTTCGATGACTGCAGCCGTGAAGAGAATTAATGTTGGAAACGACAACATGGCCGTCGAATGTGTCGGATACCTGTTGGAAGAATTGAGAAACGAAGACGCCTTCGAACAATTCAAGAAGGATGTCGAGTCGGCTAATGTTTTCATTGGTTCTTTGATCTTCGTTCAAGAACTTGCTGAAAAGGTCATTGATGTTGTGAAGCCAGCTCGTGACAATCTTGATGCTGTTCTTGTTTTCCCTTCGATGCCTGAGGTCATGCGTTTGAACAAGGTTGGAAGCTTCACCATGAAGAATCTTGGACAGTCGAAGAGTGTTGTTGCCGACTTCATGAAGAAGAAGAAGCAAGAAGACGGGTCTTCCTTTGAGGAGGGTATGCTCAAGCTGCTCCGAACTCTACCAAAGGTCTTGAAGTTCTTGCCAAGTGACAAAGCAGCAGATGCGCGTACCTTCATGATGTCTTTCCAATACTGGCTCGGAGGATCACCAGAAAACTTGCAGTCCCTTTTGACAATGGTTGGACAAGATTACGTTGCCCCTATCAAGGCTGAGATGGAAGGAAAGGAGAAGATGGTCGCAGAAGAGCCAATGCTTTTGCCCGACAAGGCCATCTGGCATCCTGTTGCACCAAATTTCGTCTTCGAGACACCGCAAGACTACTTCAAGTGGTATGACAACGAATTCTGCCCCGATGCCGGTATCGACCCGAAGACAGCACCCACCATCGGAATCCTTCTTCAAAAGTCTCATATCAACACCAAAGATGACACCCACTACGTTTCTTTGATTGCAGAGATGGAGAGCCGTGGTGCCCGTGTTGTTCCTGTCTACTCCGGTGGCCTTGACTACTCTGGACCTGTTAAGGAGTACTTCGTAGATGCTAACGGGAAGCCCATTGTTGATACCATTGTCAACTTGACTGGTTTCGCATTGGTTGGTGGACCAGCTTCTCAAGACCACAAGAAGGCTGCCACTGTCCTTAAGGAGCTCAATGTTCCATACATGTGCGCAGTACCACTTGTCTTTCAATCCTTCGAAGAATGGCAATCCTCCGAGCTTGGTCTACACCCTATCCAAGTTGCACTTCAAGTTTCTCTTCCAGAAATTGATGGCGCCATCGAACCAATCATCTACGCTGGGCGTGAAGGTGCTACTGGACGCAGTGTTCCACTGGCTGACCGTGTTAACCTGCTTGCCGATCGTGCCTTGAAGTGGGCCAACTTGAAGAACAAGGAGAAGGCTGACAAGAAGATTGCAATCACAATCTTCTCCTTTCCACCTGACAAGGGCAATGTTGGAACTGCTGCCTACCTAGATGTTTTTAATTCCATCCAGGCTGTCCTCGGCCAACTCCGAAAGGAAGGATACAATGTCGGTGATGCTCCAACTACCAAGGAAGAAATCATGGAATCTATTTTGAACGATCCCGAGGCCAAGATCTCTTCCCCAGAGTTGAATGTTGCGTACAGAATGAATACCAACGAATACTACGAGTTGACACCCTACGCTACCGAACTCGAGGAAAATTGGGGACCTGCTCCTGGAAATCTGAACTCTGACGGACAAAATCTCGTTGTTTACGGAAAGCAATTTGGAAATGTCTTCATCGGAGTTCAACCATCTTTTGGATACGAGGGAGATCCAATGCGATTACTGTTCGCGAAATCTGCTAGCCCCCATCACGGTTTCGCTGCATACTACACCTACCTCGAGAAAATCTTCAAAGCCGACGCAGTTTTGCACTTTGGAACCCATGGAAGTCTTGAGTTCATGCCTGGAAAGCAAGTTGGTATGTCCGGAACATGCTACCCGGATCGCTTGATCAACTCTCTGCCATCTGCGTACCTCTACGCTGCCAACAATCCTTCAGAGGCGACGATTGCCAAGAGACGTTCGTACTCTGCCACCGTTTCTTACTTGACTCCCCCAGCTGAGAATGCTGGACTCTACAAGGGTTTGAAGGAGTTAAAGGAACTTATTTCTTCTTACCAAGGACTTCGCGAGAACGAAGGACGCGGACCTGCCATTGTTAACTCTATCGTATCTACGGCTTACACCTGTAATCTCGATAAGGACATCGACCTTCCAGATCTTGAGACCTATGACGCCCAAAGCGATAGTAAGGACGACCGTGACGACATTGTTGGACAGGTGTATTCCCAAATCATGCAAATCGAGAGTCGTCTTCTTCCATGTGGTCTTCACACTGTTGGTGTGCCACCAACTGCCGAAGAAGCAGTTGCCACTCTCGTTAATATTGCCCAACTTGATCGTCAGGAAGATGGAATCGAGGGTCTTCCACGTGTCATTGCCGCCTCTGTCGGGCGTGACATCAATGAGATCTACCGTGGAAACAACGTTGGTGTTCTCGAAGATGTTGACTTGAACACAAAGATTGTTGAAGCTTCTCGCGCTGCTGTCCGTGCCCTTGTCAACCAATCTACTGACGCTTCTGGACGAGTTAAGGAAGTGAAGACTATCTTCGATGACATTGGTAGCTTCTTCGGCCAAAAAAAGCCATACACCAGAGCCATCATTGATGCTGGCTTCTCTAAGGTCGAAGAAGACCGCCTTGAGCCAGTCATGGCGTATCTTGAGTTCTGTTTGAAGCAAGTAGTTGCCAACAACGAGCTTGGTGGAATTATGGAGTTGTTGAATGGAGAGTTCTTGATGCCTGCCCCGGGTGGTGACCCAATCCGTAACCCAGATGTGTTGCCCACTGGACGAAACATGCACGCTCTTGATCCCTCTGCGATTCCAACAAAAGCTGCTGTCGACGTGTCTGAAGGTGTGGTTCGTAAGATGTTGGAGAAGCTCCAAGATAACGGCGGCGCATACCCAGAAAGCATTGCCTTCACCTTGTGGGGTACTGACAACATTAAGACCTACGGGGAGTCTCTTGCCCAAGTCCTAGCCCTTGTCGGTGTCCGCCCAGTTGCTGATTCTCTCGGTCGTGTCAACAAGGTCGAGTTGATCCCTCTCGAGGAACTTGGCAGACCTCGTATTGATGTTGTTGTTTCTTGCTCTGGTGTCTTCCGTGATCTTTTTATCAACCAGATGAACTTGATGGACCGCGGTATCAAGATGGCGGCTGAAGCCGATGAACCGATCGAGATGAACTTTGTTCGAAAGCACGCTCAACAGCAAGCCGAAGAACTAGGTGTTTCTCTTCGTGAGGCAGCTGCCCGTGTTTTTTCCAACTCTGCTGGTTCTTACAGTGCCAACGTTGGGCTTGCGATTGAGAATGGAGGATGGGAAGACGAGTCCCAACTTCAAGATCAATTCCTGACTAGAAAGGGTTTTGCATTCAACGCTGACAAGCCAGGAATGATGGAAAGTCAAGCTGCTCTTTTTAAGTCTGCGTTGAGCACCGTCGATGTCACTTTCCAAAACTTGGACTCTTCTGAAATTTCTATAACTGATGTCTCTCACTACTACGACTCCGACCCAACCAAGGTTGTGCAAGGACTTCGTAGTGACGGAAAAAAGCCAATGTCTCTGATGGCTGATACGACCACTGCGAATGCTCAAGTTCGCACCCTTTCTGAGACTGTTCGTCTTGATGCTCGTACAAAGCTTTTGAACCCTAAGTTCTATGAGGGTATGCTTTCCACTGGATACGAAGGTGTCCGTGAAATCCAGAAACGACTCCGTAACACCATGGGTTGGTCTGCCACAGCAGGTGAAGTTGATAACTTCGTCTTTGAAGATGCCAACGACACATTCATCAACGACCCAGAAATGCAACAGCGACTACTTGACACTAATCCCAATGCCTTCCGTGACATGGTCACGACCTTCCTTGAAGCTAACGGACGTGGATACTGGGATACCAGCGAGGAAAACATTGAACGCTTGCAAGAACTTTACGCTGAAGTTGAGGACCGTATCGAAGGTGTCTAAGTGACCAGAAGAAAGGACTGTATACTTGCATATCGAAAGTTGTTGATAGAATCTTTTGCGTCTAGTGAGTTGTTATAGGGCAAATCGCACAACCAAGACCAGCGAACAGATATATCGTAATATAAAACGAAGAGGAATTAGACCAGTCCTATTCTAAAATTTATGCTATGCACTAGACTAAGCCATTAAATACAATAAAACTATTCAGTTTCGTTGAACACATTACCATATACTGCATAGCATCGTCCAAGGGCCCAAATGGGAAACACATTACGGTATGCTGTGTAGGTGATTCCAACAGATCTGTTAAAAACACCAGATATCCCTTCCTGTGGCCAGTCACCGGAAGGAAGTTGTCGCTTCATCAAATATTGCACGCCACGTCGAATAGCATCGACATCGTCATACTTTGCAATAGAAAGGCCAAGCAAAGCCCAGGCAGTATTGACGACGCCGCTACCCTCGTCGCCATACCGTTTCATGCCATTCTTCGCATAGTCCTTATCGTAGCAACTCGTGAAGTCTTCGCCCCATCCTCCATTTTTTCGCTGATGTTGAAGCAAAAACTTGCAAGCACGCACAATTGCAGTTGAATCCAATGACTCTCCACATTTGACAAGACCCTCTATTCCAAAGAAGGTACCGTATGTAAAGCAGCACGCCCAAGACCCGTACCACGAGCCATCCTCTCTTTGGACACTCTTCAGAAATGAATGACCTTTGTTGATGCTTTGCTGGATGTCGTTTGGCCGATGATGCGGGTACATCTCCCTGAAATCCACAAGCGCAGTCAAGGTGGCCATACTGCACTCTACATACGAGTAGTCAATCATAATGTCTCCAAATACTTCACTAGGATTCAACTGTTCATACCAACCCCATCCACGGTTATTTTCATAAGTTGCCCAGCCTACGACAGATCGATTGATCAGGGCTTGGTGAGTCAGACTCCTAGGTCCAAGGTATCATGGGAGGACACTTTGGTTTACTTACCGCCATCTTCATTTTGGTAGGTCAAGAGCACGTTTATAGCTTTGTACAGGCGCTGTTCCGATATGCAAACAATTCTCTTATCTTTCAGGCTGTCCTGGATGCACTTTGTGCGTAGTAGACACAGAACAGCCTTGAGACCCTCGCTTGTACAGTCACTAATCGGCCAACCGTCTATCGGTGAACATAACGGACAAATTATGTTTTGTGAGCAGGCGTTTGAGTTGACAGAAGTTGAGACTTGTGCACTTACGAGCACTTGTGGAGAACGGCCACCCCCCTTCAGATATGTGACGGTAGTACATGTTTCGGTACTCGTTTGCTTCATACTTGTATGCAGGTGATGATCTGATACGGACAAGAGGAGGTCAGGCCAAGGCATTCTCAGAAAACCAAAACGAGAGAGAGAAATGCTTACTGTGAAACTTCTGTCGACAGAATTTGAGTCCGTTCCAAGTAGTTCCATATCTTTCGCGATACACCCGGGAACTCATCAAGTAGATTGGCTTCAAAAAGAGCTTGGGCGCAGAATGATGTATCCCAACACTGGGAACCGTTGTATCCCTGCATTTTCATTCCATCTTCGGCGACTGAATGAATCGGAACATCAATAGATGATAGTGAGAGCATGGAATCAAAACTGTGGTTGATGACAAAAAAGAAAGGCCTTTAAACTTACTCCAAAGATAGTCTTGCACCCTCATCATGTGGTCCACAACAGTTGGATCGTTCAGGTCATTTCCTGTAGCTAGAATTGCAAAAGGCGAATGTAAGGCGATTGGACGCTGTAAGAAGTACGTGCTCCAGCAGAAACAAAAACCTACCATGATAATGTGAAATCATGTTAAGAACTTTGTTCACCGGCCCAATACTGTTTGTGAAATAATTAGATGTGTGTTGAATGTAGCACAGTCACTGGGCGCTATACTCACTCGATATAGTTGGTTTGTTTGTCCTCGGCATGGATGTATTTCAGAGAAAATTTGATTCCCTTCTCTCGGAAAAAACGCTTGAAAGGTTGGAAGATGTCCCAGTTTTCATAGCACGCTAAAAGATTTTGCATGGTTTTCATCATGAGAGGAATTGGGGAATAGTCGTCAAGTGGTGACACCCAATGTCGCGTTTTTACCCAAGAAATGTTGATGTAGTTCTCACAATACAACTCGCTCCGAAGCGATTGGATAGTTGCATCAGTTTCGGCATCTTCATATACGAATTGTGAACCGTACAAATAGCCCATTGGCAAATAGACCATTCGGGCATGGCACCACATTCTACCGGGATGAAAAGGGAACCAGTTTGGGAGCAGCCACATTTCAGGCGGCACGGAGTTGTGGCCTCTCCAGTCCATTAGTCCAAGTAGACACAAGTAAAACTTGGACCAGGAGGAAGTGTAAAGCACCCCGCCATTTTCCTTCAAGAATTTTCTTCCCCGAACAGCTGCGGGGTCATCCTTAGGAACACCCAATAGTCGCATGGCAACATACATTAAAGTAGAGCCAAACATTGTCGGTGGGGATTCGATATGAGTGCCCCATCCGCCATCAGATTGCTGATGAACCAAAATGTAGTGTTTCAATAGTTTGATTTGATCATTGTTCAAACAGCTGCTGGGTTTGCCCATAATGTACCAAGCGATTACAAGTCCTGGCATAAGAAAGTGTGGGCTAAAATAATGACAGGAAATACTTTTAATTGGGCAATTGCAAGTTCGAACGAATCGGCAGCATCGAGATGTGTTCACTTACCCACCATAGTCAGCAGCAAAGTGACCATCAGAACACTGCAGCATCGAGTAAAAGTGAGCTGCTTTCCTCGTACAGTCTTGAATACTTTTGGGCGGCGTAGCTGGTGGAGGTACGTTTCCATCAATGCTCAAGTATTTGCGAATCTGGTGAGCTCTGAAGATTACATCAGAGCTATTTGGGTTTTTCGAAGGGTTGAAGCCGGAGTATGATCGACCACCCAGGGCCATTTCCTGGATAAGCTTTTCCTTGTCATGGTTGCTAGCACTTGTGGTCGCTCTGCTCCAGATCTGTCTACCAGATGGTTCACCAGTTAGTTTCTTTCCAGGAAATTTGGTCTCAGTATCTTCGTGAGATTCCTCTGCGACCATGCACTTCCACTTTTCTTTATCTTCGTCGTCAAGAGTAGTCAGGCGATCATCCCAAATTGGTTGTCTTTGTATTTTTGAAGCTCGCGGTCCTCCAGGGACAGAAACTCCATCCATTAGGTGGTTCAGAACGAAAAAGTAGAGAGTGTAAAGGCACATTGAATGCAACCCTGACCACCAAATTGATAATGGTAGACTGAAAACACATTCGCCATACTGCTGATCAGAAAAGTACACAAATGACGCCCACAAGAGAAGCACTCCAGCCATATGAAAGTTCAATCTCAAAGGAGGTGCCAGGGCCCCTTGGATAGCATCATAGCCACCAACTCCGACCGAGTCTACAAAATGATGGTATAGCCAGCTCCACAAACAAGAGCCATTTGGTCGCATTCCGAGCTGGTCCAGGGGAGTAGCAGCCAAACCAGTTGCCATTGCCAATGCACTCAAGACCATAACACTGGACCAACCAATCAGCCCCAGGGCGATTTGGATCCGGTCTTCCGTCATACACGTTGTATCCATTATGCAGTCTCACTCAAAAAGGCATTTGTTGGAGAAAAATGATACTGTGGTAATACTAGTGGTAGTCAAAGTATGCGATACGACTATTTTTTGTTTTTTTCAATCAACCAATAGAATCGTTAAATTGAGTAGCGAGGTACGAGAGATTTGGGACGAAAACGAGTACGATGACAAACATGGGGATTTTACAAGATGTGTGCGAATCTCTAGGTTAAACTATCTAACGTACGAATGACGGACA